TGTTTGAGTCATGCTGGCTCTGCCCCTGATCTGCCTCTTTGTCAGTCTCAGACAATCCTATGGGGAAGCACTGTGATTGGATCAGGCCACCACTTCTAATGATGTCAGCAGAGTGCTTGTTTTTCTGAGTCTAACAGCATGCTGAGCTACAGCTTCAGGCTTGAATGCAGTAATATTTTGCTCTATTTATGGAGGCATGAGGGGCCCAGATGGTGGTGTTAACACTATAGGGTCAGGAATACGTTTGTGTTCCTGACCCTATAGTAATCCTTTAAGGGGTTAATGGCAGCCACGGCTGGCCTTATATGCATGTCCCCAAGGGGCACTCCCCCTGGACCTTGTGGGGGACTGCAGCACAAAGTCAAAGATCAATGACAAATGGTGTTTAAATAAATGACACTCCCATATACAAGCATACAATCCCTCCCCTCTGCCTGGGAGATAATTGGATCAGTAACTGTACTAATTCTAATCCAATTATCTCCAAGCAGAGAAAAAAAACATACAAATGTTACTGATAGCCCTGATCTGGCTGACCAACATATCCAAAAATCACCCAGATCAGTTCAGGAATTTCCTGGAAGTCATTTATTTGATCGACCGCAGGCATGGTCCCATGCCCAAAACAGTTCCAGAGAATCAGGGCTTGCGGACGGTCTAGTTCGGTAGTTTTACAAACAAACTACCAAACAGAGTCAATAGTCTTACCCTGGAGCTTGTTCCCCTTATGCAGACAAATGTTTTTCAACAGTGCCCTTTTAAGTTGTATAGAACCGAACACAGGTGATGATGGAAATCCAGCGGTGTTCGGGGGTGTCTGTTCGATTTTAGTTCCATGAGATCCATGCCCAAACACCACTGCCTGCGTTCATGCGAACAAGATGGCCGTCACCTCGTGTTTGTCTATAGGAATTGCAGCCACTCAGATGAACAATTAGAACACTGTGGTGAGAAACGTTCCAAGTTGTTCATAGGTGTTAACAAGCTCCATGGTGGTCTCTATTATTTTACTTATTATGCAAAGATTTTTTAAAGCCTCCAATAGATTTCAAATTACTATCAGTATTCTATGGCAATCATCACTTTATGAATTCAATATCAGATGAGTGAGGATTCAAATGATATAAGGTGTTTAGACCACTTGCGCAATTATATCTATACGATAAGGATCTATATAGATATGGACGAATGCTGCTCTACAAGCAGACGCCAACCTTACACTAAAGGTACACTACAGAATTGAGGCTCTGTAATGGACCGACCGGGACCCCGACTGGGTACCAAGCACTTCAGCCGACACCATAACTACTGTAGACTCCTTCCGAGAGCAAGACAGGAACAAGCTCTTAGAAGTGATTATCCAAGGGAGTATGCAGAACATAGCAATCCCCCCAATAAGAGACAGGACTCTAGATTGAGGGTGAAGAAGAACTGAACTTTAATTCAAACACTCTGCTTTTATGCCCATTCTA